CGCCGCGTCCCCGTTGTGGGGTGAGGGGCCGCCCTGCCCTCAGCTGTCATCACCGACCTGGGGACGGGGCTTGTTGGTGACTAAAGAAAGAAAGAGGAGTTTAATTTCCCCAAATTTTATTAAAAAAGTGATTTCTGCCAGAAGAAATGTTATTGGAAAGATGAAATCTTGCTGCTGACAGTGCGCGTGGCTGTAATCTCAAGCTTTATCCCAATAAGAAAGCTTTTTTTTTTGCTATATTAAAAGTATAGGGCTTTTCCGCAACATGTTTAAACTTGACAAAATTCTGATTAACAACCTTTAGTTCAAATTATTCCTCAAAAGTTATTTAAGGACACTGAATCTTGAAAATTTTTGCTGTCTCATTATGAACGTTGTAGCTTGGTAGTCATAAATGCTTCCCTGCCTCTCATTTTCTCATCAGAATTAATTAAACAATAAATCAAGCTTTTAAAATTTAGGAGATGTATAGTAGATGCTAGTAGTAGACTAGCAAAATTGTTTCCTTTTTCTTAACAATCTTTCTTAACAATCCCTAACAGACTTCTACTATCATAACAAATAGTATCTATGCATAAAAAACGAAAAAGCAACAGTTAATGGAATAAAAGATGTCAAATACCAGAATCCCTACGGTTAGACGAGGAATTAAGAGATTTAAGTGGAGAACTGGATGCCAGAAGGGACTGAAGACGGAGGGTTTTTACTGCAGAGGCTCCTTGTGATCTCTGCCAGCGCCAGGCAGGTGTGTACCCAGTGGTACAGGTACTCGGCTGGAACGGAGCCGTGCTGCCACACCGCTGCTCGAGGGACACCTGAAACAAACAGGAGAGGTGACTCCAAAAGCCAAGTCCAAACTGTGACCAGTGTTGGTACAAGACTGAACAGAGAAGATCATCACAGCAGTGGAGCTTTCCCTGAGTCCAGTAATTCCACCCTAGGAAATGGAGATGCTCTGAACAGCACACTGTTATTGTGACAGTGACTGGTCAAGGACAGGAGTGCTGCCTTTTTGTTATAATTTCTTTTGTATTGTGCTAGGTCCCCTGTTGTATAAACTGCTCCGCTATATTTTAATGCTAAACATTTGATAATTAAAAATGTAAAGAGAAAAGTGCTTTTTTTCCAACCTCAGATTTGATTTAAAAGTAACTACCCTTCAAAGCTCTTTTACTAAATGCTATTCAAGGTTGCCATAGAATTAGATAATTAAAGGTTGTTCTGTCAATAGAGTGTAGGTTGTTATGTGCTCTGTTCTATATTACACACATATATGGAATGTATGGGCGTTATCCGACATACACCATGTGTGAACAGTAATGTTTTTAAAGGAATTCCTGTAACTGTGCACTGTACCTCTATTCACACCACTGATCTGACACTACTTCCTCAAAATAAGTTCCATCCTGGGAAACCAAGCTTTTGTAGCATACCAGCAGTTTGCCAAAGCTATCTTCTTTTACATCTCTAACTGGACAAAGACTAGGTGCTCTAGGCCACTTCATTCTCTCCAGTGAGAGAATGGTTTAATAAATACGAGGAGAACATACAAAAAGGAACTGTGACTGCATTGTGTTCACTGTTCATCAGCAGGCAGAATACTGTTGATTAATATCCCCATTTAAATTACCAAGTCTTGTCCACATTTGATTTTTAACAGGCCTCTCGTTCTGGCAATAGATCATCAAGGGAGAGATCTCAACAAGAACAACAGTCATTTATCTTGCAGAGATTTTGCAAATAATAATAGCTTCTTGACTACTCTGGCACCAAAAAACCTGACATTGATTAAAGGAGAAAAAGACAGACTGAAACCCAGCTCCTGTATATGGCCAGTGAGTATATTAAGTACCTGGCAGATGGTGTTTAAAAAGAGGAGGGCTCATGCTGTCCTCCCACACTTGTGTTGCTTTTTGGAGCTGGGTCAGTCCCTCAGGCAGGGCACAGAGGTCTGAGGTAGATTTACTTGCCAAAAGAACCATCATCCTTAATATGTCTTTACAGATTACTTGCCAAAAAAGCCATCATCCTTAATGTGTTTATCTGGAGGTTTACAATGAGATCACGTGTTCTGGAAGGTTTCAAAGCTGATCTGCTCCTCTTTCCTTAACACAGTGAATTTTGATTCTAAATTGAACAGGTTGACCTTTATTGACCAAAAAAGACTGCAGATATTTAGGACCCTTTATCTGTTGTTTAATCTGTTGTGAAATCAAAGTTAATTTCTGAAGTAAGTACCTTAAAAGCACTCAGCTGAAGGTTGCCACCGATGCTGTTTCATTGCTGAGCTATATCTGGTAATTTCACAATTAGTTTATGATATTTACCACTGATGCAGTCCAGCAGCAGCTCTTCTTGAACTTCCACAGATGCAGCAGTTGGATCAAAGCAATAAATCTCCTGAATCAAATTGTCATTGAGTTTCTGCAATGCAGAAAACAAGGAGAGTCAGGTGGCAGTGAAAACATGACGAGGGGGTTACAGAATTAAAGATGGCTAGGTCAAGCATACAGGAAATCTGTGGGTAAGGAATTATTTTCTGTAGGTAAGGAATTCACCCTTGGCAAGTTCCACTGTATCTTCTTGGGGGAGAAAGAACAGAAAACAAAGTCTCAACATTTTGAAGTCTCACCAGTATACACTGACTCCAGTTCTCAGTCTTCTCTGAGCCCTTCCAGTTTGGATGCAAAAGCAGCAGCACAGCCTTAACGATGTTATGGACCAGAGCTGGTGGTTCTACATAGCTCTTCATTTCAGCAAAGCTTTCAGCGTCGAGTTTCTGGACACACTCGCGCAGGTCCTGCAGCATGAACCGGTGGAACAGAAGCCCTGAGTGCCTCAAATTTGCCACATGTTCTGCCTCTGGAATCAAAAGCAAATCTTTCAAGAAGTTGCTCAGAAACATCTGCTACTCAAGACTTATGATACTGACTGGAAGGCTCTGATGTCTTTATGAGATGAGTGGGACTAGGGCACAAAATACCCTGTGAACCAGAGTTAAAATCTAACCATTCTGTTTAACTGTACTCTGCTAAGCACTCAGGCTTGCTCAGGAGTAGTTTACGTGTACCAAAGCTTTGTATTTGTCTTTCAGTACTTGTAGGAATGATACTTTAGATGTGGTTTTAATGAGCTTCCTAATTTCACCCCTAAAAAAAACTATCTTGGCTCTGTATGCACAATACCCAGGACATAGGTTGGCTCTGTTTCCTCTAAAGACATCTTCAGTATCTCAGAGCAGGCAGCTTGGGCCACCTTTAGCATTTTCTGCAGGTCTTTGTGTTCATGAGGTGGTAATTTCTGGTGGCGTCCGATGCTGATATCAAATATGCCAAGAGCTTGTCCTGATAGGTCACGGAGAGGTACTGCAATGTGGTGTTCTCCACAAACAGAAGTGCAAATCACCTCTGAACTATCTATGCACTTAAACAGGTAATCTCTGAAATGAGAGTAAAGAAAGGAATATGTACTAGAGTTTACCATTCTGGTTTCTTTTTATAATTTATTTAGCTTATTTTAGTAACATGCCATTCATCTCTTGTGAGGTATTACATTACTAAATCATTGTTTATGTCCTTGAACTGAAATACGCACAGCTTGAAGTATCATTCAAGCCATATACAAAGAGGTGAAAACAGCATTGTAGAACACAATATTGCTTAGCCAAGGCAATTGCTGAAAAGTGTAAGAATTTAACAAACCTTGCTTTAAAAAGCTTCCTGTTTATAACTGTGTTGACATTTGTTCTGTAGAGTTTTATAAAAAGTAAAAACATCTGCTGGAACAGCAAATAGCTGTTCAACCAACTTTGACAACAAGGACAATATGCTTAAAAGAGAAGTTTGTGAAGATCTTGGCAGTAGCAGGAAACAGATAGTTGAAGGAAATGAGACTAATATGGCCAGGAAAAAAGGCAGATTATTCTAAAGAGCAAAACAGTTCAGCGTAGGCTCTAATCCTGCAAACCTTTCACAGCAGATGAAGAACTTGCTTGGTAGCTCAGTTGGTAAGCATGAAGTCAGAAGTTAAGTTTTTGCAGGCCTAAACTCAAAGAGAAAATACTCCTCACCCCTTTATAATTCAGTGTCACACACATACACACCAGAAGCCTTGATAGCGAGAGAGCTGCAGCCAGAGACTCTTGCAGGGTTGCATTACCATGGGCTGTATGTGATGTGGATCATGCCTGAGGCAGGCTGGAGTCTAGGACCAGAGGTGACTAGTTCCATTGCAGCTGCTGGAACCTACCTTAAGAGGTTTTCTTTTCTGAGGAGAAGAACAGGAGAGCTATGAATTTCTTTCTGTCCTGTATTATCTGTAGTAATCATCTTGCGCAGGGCACAGTCCCATGTCTGCCAGAGAGAAAGGGGAGGTTTAACTGCATCCAATAAAGAAAGATCCTTTTTAAAGCTTGGAGAAGCTTGTTTCTTAAAGGAAACTCTTATGTACATTCAAGTGCTATTGGATGGTTCAAAGACATCTCCCAACATCTTGTCTGGTTTTATTCCCAGAGTCTATTCCTCAAGATGTGTGTAGAATGTGCCCTGGACCTCCCTCAGCCAGACTATTTAACCCACCCCCCTGGCTCCACACTGAGGAACATCCACAGGCCCAGAAGAAGTTTCCATTCTTTTTCACATCCCCTTGCAGTCCTCTTTCTCATGTCATGTTTGTGTCAGTGAAAAGCACAGAGGGAAGCAAATGACCTGGCTATCAGGCAGCTAACAAGGGAACAGAGCAGAGCCTGGAATGACAACAGAAAACTGCCAACATAAACCATGCTTATCAGAGGAAGCAGATGAATTATGGCTGCAGCAGATGTCATACAGACTTTGTGATGACACAGGATCAGTCCTAAATATTGCAAACACTTTTCATCTTCTTAACTCACTTGTACGTGAAGTGACAAGCTCCCAGGGCCCGAGTGCCTGATGAACAACTGGAATGTGATCTGCAGGGAGGGGGGCTGCATTTACAAGCTGGCT